AGGAGTTTCCGCGCCATTCTCATTGCCTCCATGCCAACTTCGACTGTGCCCACGCTCGTAAACAGGTCACCGCGGCGGTTTTTAAACTTGAATGCCGTTCGAATCTCGGGCGCATCACATAATGGAAATCTGAAACGGATGGTTTGCGGGTGGGTGCACATTTCTTTCAGAAGCTCCTCGTCGTCTTCCCCGACAAAACTCTCCCCGCCGTCCCCGTCGAAGAGGTGTACATTCTGTTTTGGCACTGGAACTATTGTGGTACACACGTCCAAGGGGGCTTCGTTTGCAGACCAGGATTTGGGGCAGGGCTCTGTCACGGCGAACGATTTTGTGTAACGCTTCATGTAGGCGGTGGTTAGTGCCTGGACAGTAGTTGGAATGGCAGTGGACAGTGTTGGGGGGGAGAATTTTGGCGTGCTTAGGTAAAAGTAATGGCACTTTTGCAGGGATGACGAGCTGAGTCCCTTATACTTTGCTCTGATCGACCGGACCGAGGAATCTACCAGAATGCAATGCATGGGTCGTTCACTCATGTGTTTCTGTCTGGTTTCATCATCTTGGCACCTGTCATTGGACAGAATATATATATATATATATATTGCAGCCACTTATGTTGTTTTATTGTAATCCAGGGATATGATTAATTGAATAATTGTACAAATTATTTTGTTCTCTGGATTGTAATAATTATTGGATTAATCATTAATTATTAATAATAATAATTGATAATTGTTGAATTAATAATTTTGGATTAATTATTTTGTCCAAGGATTAGTACAAAGTCGAAAGCTCAAAACATTTAAATTACAATCCAGAGAACAACATAATTTGTAATATATATATATATATATATATATATATATATATATATATATATATATACTATATATATATATATATATATATATATATATATATATATATATATATATATATATATATATATATATATATATATATATATATATATATATATATATATATAAGATTAGATTAGAAGACAAACTTGAATTACTTCATATGAACTTTATTTCACTACAAATTTGTTTCGTATGACAAGACGAGTCTTGCCACACTCATCAAGTGAATTAAATAACGCGTTATATAAAAGCTTATATATATATATATATATATAAGCTTTTATATTTGGTATGGAAATGCCAAACGAAGTCTCCTCGAGGGCGAAGGATCCAAATAGGATTCACAGCAAGTACTGTAGTATATATATATATTTATAATATAGCATTTGTAAATTCTGAACGCTGATTGGCTAAGAGCCGTGTTGATATAACTCAATGTCAACACGGGAAATTTTCCGCCGCTTGTAAACACGGAAATTTTCTCATCCTTCGGGCTTTTGAAATTGCTATATTATAAAAAAAATATAAAACATTTTTTCCGTATTGATATATAGTTATATCAACACTCGTGGAAGTTGGGAAAACTCGAAATTATATGAAAACACTCCGCCCTTCGGGCTTCGTGTTTCCATACAATTTCTCGTTTTCCCAATTCCACTCGTGTTGATATAACTGTATATATCAACACGGAAAATGTTTTATATTTTTAAAAATCAATTTAAAAATCAGAGACTATGCAACTTCGACCATCAATTTATTAAAAAAACTAAAACATACTAAAATAAAAGCTTAAAAGTTAAAAACGTTTCGGCAGTTCTGCCTTCATCAGTTTATATTACAATTTAACAATGTCTAGAAAATGTTTTATATTTTTAAAAA